TTTGGTATAAAGTTTTTTGTGTTTGTTTAATGCTCAGTGGTTTTTTGTATTAGAAAATTATTGTGTACACTGGAAGTTATACATTTTAAAATTTTGTTTCAGTTCCTCCCTCACAAATCCCGGCCAATTAAATTAAATTTGGTTCCTTTTGTTATTCGGCAAATTTAAATTTTTGGGTAGCATAATTTCAAATTTCCAGGGTTTGCAACCCCAACCCGCTGGTAGGGTTTTGGGGGCGGGTATTGCTGCTTTTAAATTTTTTCCAATTTCTTTTTCTCCCTTTATTGTTTTAAACCTGCTTAATTTTAGCCCTAGCCATGGTTAAAATGAAAAAAAGGAAAAAGTTCTCATTATTTTAAAGCACTTTAAACCGTACATTAACCCCTTAAGATTAAATTTGGGTTTTTTAAGCCACTGTCGGGTTTTCTTTTACCCCGTCTCAAAGGGAAACCGGAGGGAAAATTTCTTTAAATTTTTACGCTAATATCCAAAAAACTATAGCTTATTTTGCCTTTTCACAAATTTATCTTTTATGAGAAGAAACAATTTAAATAACATTTTTAAAATGTTAAATTTCTCCCCGAATAAATTTAAAATTTTGGCCCAATTTCCGAGCAGTTCGCGGAGGTTTTGGGAAAAGGGTAAAGGGGAAAAATAATACCATTCTCCTTCCCTGTCTTTGGGGCTTATTTTAGGAAATTTGGGGTGCAGCACAGGGCTAACTGTGATTTACACTTATGCCCATTTAACCCGAAAAAAAAAAAGTTATTTTCTCTCATAGATTGGCCCACACAGGCCCCTTTTTTTGTTTGGAACCTTGGATTTAAACCCCCCAAAAAATCAAAGTGGCTTATTTTAGTACCTGGCTTGGGGGTTAAAACCCTTTTTTCATTTTTGGTAAATTTTTCGATTCCCAAACCGGGGGGAAAAAAACATTAGGCATGTTTTCCCCCACACCCGTTGTCTATGTTTACCCATCCCGTTAAAAGGGTACCTGGGTGTTAGTCGCTAGTGTGGGGGTTATTTCCCGGGGGCAATGACCTAATTTTCTTTAAAATACTCAGCATAAAAAAAGTTGGGTTTTTGTACAGTTGTATGTTGATGTCAGCTAGGCCCGTATTTCCTTGTTTCATGTAGTGGGGTAAATAAAGATATTATTTTTTATTATTATTTTTTATTATTATTATTATTATTATTTTTAAATTTTTATTTTCTCAGTTGTTTTCTGGGTTATTTATTCAAACTTGGGCAATGTTTTGATGGAAAGATTCTTCTTCACGTACACCAAAAATGAAAGAGATCAGACCATAAATAGCGGAGTTCACTTCTCAGCCATTAGCGGCCACTAAGCGGTGTATTTTTGTATGGTTGTTATGGTTATATTCTCATTTTTTCGGTCTCATTTGATAGAATGAAAGATATATTACAGAAATAGATGTGATTTTGATTGCTTTCATGATGAACAGTACCTTGAAATTGCACTCACAGTAGCGAAAATGTTCTATTCTTTAGAGAAGCTCTAAGAGTAAACAAATGACGTCACCGTCCAATACCTGTCCGCCTGCCAGTCTAAATTCCAGTACGGAGTCAATAATGGCTTGACATTATTTATACAATTATTACAATAATGCAGCAGTCTGCATAACACTAAATCTTCTATTTTTTTGCGAATAAAAATTCCAAATGGTAAGCAAGAGTAATATAAGAGGAGCCTGTAGCCGTGAGTAATGAACAGAGAAAATGTTATTTTAGTGCCAGGAATGTCTGCATTGTTTATTCTGGACCCTATTTTGAAATTGGCATCTGTTGAAATTTGTGTGAAATCGGCCAAATTGCCAATTTCTGACCACTTTATTGGGTTTAGTTAGTTTAATATGTTTATTATGCACCCCATACCCATCCTGTGGGCGGTAGTCAAAAGATTACAGAGGTACATAATGGGTCCAGGGACTGGGCCTCAAAGTTTTGATAGCTGAGCAAGTTACAGAGGTAATGAATTCAAAATTTACAAAGGTAATGAACTCACAATTTACAAAGGTAATGAACTCCAGGTAGGTCTAGTCACAATCATTACAATGGGCGGTTTCTTGTACTCAGTTGACAGACTAGAAGTAAATAAGTTTATTCATTTCACAAATCAGTTACATAGTTATCATACATACCAGTGTAGTATAGAGAACCTGGGAAACCCCAAAAAAGTAGACAAAGTGACTTTTCCAGTCCCGGGCTTGGGGGCTTCCCATATATGATTTTTGGTAAAATATTTGTTTTTTTTCGTTGTTTGTTGGGCTATCTCATTGAAACTTGGGCAGTGTATGATGGAAAGATGCTAACATGCAACAAAAATAAAAAAAAACAGCGCAAAATAAAGTTCACTTCTAACCCTTAGCCGCCCCTTTGCAGTATGTTTTCATATGGTTTTTTTTTTTATTCTCGTTTTTTTTTGGGGAATTTTATAGAATGGAAAAATTATTACAGAAAAAAGACATGATTTTTGATTGCTTTTTGACGAAAAATACCCCTTTAAATTGGCTCAAAGTAGAGGAAATGTTCATTTTTACCAAGTTCAATGAACTTTTTTAAGTCAATTTTGGTTTTTTTTATTAAATGTATTCTAAACCAACCCTCTTAAACCGGCAAACTCAGTAATCCCGGGCCCCAAAGGTCCCAATATCGGTTTTTTGAGGGGGACTGTACCAGGAATTATTGGGATCTTGGAATGTGGTTAGAACAATGATAGAACCATATTTTGGGAAGGAGATTATTATACAGTACATGTATACTGGGAGTTTGGAGGGATATGTTGGTATTTTATTGTGTAGCTTCTAAATTTGTTTCGGACCCCTTGCAAAAACAGTGATAATGTGTGAGTGTGGTGAAAGTGTTGAATGATGATGAAAGTATTTTCTTTTTGGGTATTTTCTTTCTTTTTTGGGTCACCCTGCCTCAGTGGGAGAAGGCCGACTTGTTGAAAAAAAAAAAATGTGTACTGATAACTGGTACACAAGCCCCTCACTCAGTGATTTTTTGTGAGTGAACATGACAGATGTGTGTGGCATAGTGCGTGCAAATCGTAAACATATGCCCAGGTTTGACGCTGGCACTCATTAGAGGTGAGGTGCAGGCGTTTGCTGCCAATGACATCATGGCATTTCGGTGACATGACAAATGAGATGTCACACTGTTGTCATCAGTTCACCCTAACGAAATGACAGACACTGGCAGGCAGCATGGAGAGAGCAATGAACCGGTTCTAAAACCTGCAGCTGTGATTGATTTCACCTTCAATATGTGCTCAGTGGACAAATGTGACATGCAGATTGGGTTTGCTGATTGTGTTCGCAAGAGTTATAAGTGGTACATAAAACTCTTTTTCCATCTTCTGGACATTTCCATGCTCAATGCTTATAATATGTAATAGATGAGGACCAGAAACAAACCACCATATGGCAAATTTTGTTTGTCTGTCATCAGACAAATAGTATTCAAGTGCCAAAGAGCAACATCTGCAACAGAAAACCGCCCACTAAATTATCAACAACTACCTTCTCGTCTGAAGCATGGTGATCACTTCCTAATACAACTGCCTGCTACTGCTTTCAAGAAAAAGGCTCAGAAGAGGCGTTACATCTGTACACATACAAAAAGCTCCCACAACAACGCAGAGACACTCGTTTTATGTGTGAGGAGTGTAAAACACCACCGTGCATGATACCATGTTTGAAAGAATTCCACAGGCTGCAGAACCTCTAGAAACATTCCCTGTGACTGTAAATGTGTATATAAAATATAGAAAAATAGTAATAAACAACATTTTATATCGTTTGTGTGTGTGTAAACAACTTTTATAAACAATATAGTGACAACAGTGTTTGTGCATTTATTGTGTAGTAAATAAAGAGAAAAACTTACAAAATAGTGCTCATATTGGTCTTACAGGCCATAAAAGTTACTTGAAATAAAAAAAATAAAAAATAATAGAAAATAATACCGAAAATACTAAATAAACTAAAACCGGGTGACCAGCAGTCGGCGATGTTGCAGTATGCCAGTCATTTTTCTGTCAACTTCATGCCTCCATATCTTGGTAAGTTTTTTTTTTTTTTTCAACAAGTCGGCAGTCTCCCACCGAGGCAGGGTGACCCAAAAAAGAAAGAAAATCCCCAAAAAGAAAATGCTTTCATCATCATTCAACACTTTCACCACACTCACACATTATCACTGTTTTTGCAGAGGTGCTCAGAATACAACAGTTTAGAAGCATATACATATAAAGATACACAACATATCCCTCCAAACTGCCAATATCATGGTAAGTATTGATGGTAAAAATATTTTGTTTAGCCTATAATGTTTAGAAAAAAAGCTGTCTTTTCATAATTTTTTTTTTTTTATTTTGAAAATTGTTCGACCCTGAGAACAAGTCTGGGAGAGGGGCCTGTCGACCCTGAAAGGGTTAAACTGTCCAAATGTAGATCTACGTTCACTCGCATAGTGCTCCGAATATTTCAAAAAATAAAAAAATCATGTTTTTCTTTTAAAATGAAGAGCACATTTTTCTACATGTTATAGGATAAAAAAAAATTTAGGGTCAATACTTACTGAGATATACTGTATAATCCTCTGGGTTTAGCGCTTCCCTTGATTATAATAATAATAATTACTGAGATATAAGACAGTGAAGTTGGCACTGGATGCTCACCTGTTGGCAACATCAACTCCTGCTGATTGCAGAAGTGTTGCCAATGTACCTTTTTTTCTCATTTTTATTTTAATTTATATATTTTTTATGTTCTGATAATTACAATTGATAATAATTCTTGTAATTTCATAGCCAATCTTTATTCTGACAATATATTGGGTACTGAAATAGTGCTCAAATAGTCACAATCACATTGACAGATGAACATTTTCACCTGCCTGGGTTATTTACTGTTGTCTAGAAATATATACAAAGTATTTATAGGTCCCATCAATGTTTTAGATACCCTGGTATATACCTTGAAGCATGGTGTTATGAAAGGCATCCCTATACTGTTGACAGCCCAGTGACATTTGATAAATGCCCACTGCTCCAGCTAACCCTCACTGTATTTGTTATCACTGTTACACACAAACATGTCTTGTCTCTCTGTCTATTTATCTATCTGTCTGTCTGCCTATCTCTGCTTATCTGTCTTTCTGTCTGCCTGTAGTATATGTATATCGCACTCCTTGAAGAATTGTGTTATGGCATCTGTTATCAGCTCGGTGGCATTTGATAAATGGGTGCTCGGGGAACCCTGGCTTTATTTGTTTTCACTGATACACACAAACATGTATCTGTCTATCTTTGCCTGGAAATTTTGGGTTATCCTAGGTAATTTACACTATGTAACTGTACTTATGTGTATATGTGAGACAGAGATATAGATAGACAGAGACATAGACAGAGATATAGATAGGCAGAGATATAGATAGGCACATATATAGACAGATAGAGATATAGACAGAGAAACAGCCAGAGATAGCCAAAGCAAGACAGCCAACCGGCCAGCCTGCCGAATACATAAGAACATAAGAAAGAAGGAACACTGCAACAGGCCTACTGGCCCATGCAAGGCAGGTACATGTCACCCTTCCCCCCCTGGCTTAGACCCATGACCCACCTAGTCAGGTCACATCCAGTGAAGGAAGGAGCATGACATCAGACCTAGTAGCACAAGCTGGTCAAGTCCAACTCACACCCACCCACACTCACTCATGTATTTATCTAACCTGTTTTTACTTTCCTCTTAAAATGGGAGTGTTAATGCGACATGGCATCAGTGAATCCCTGGTGTTTGCCGCACTATTTGCTCTAGCTGGCGCTCATTTGAACTGGTGCTCCCACAAGGTACTAAGTGCTCCCAGATTTTTTTAATAGTGCACACACTGAGTGCACAGACCCTCTCTTTCATGTCTAGGCGACTCAAGCCTATTGTGCCAAATTTGAAGGAATGAAAAATAAAACGTTGATCTACGTTTGGAGCGCTACACGTGCAAACGTAGATCTACATTTGGACAGTTTAAGGGTTAAAAATAAAAGTCCATGACTGATTTGGCTTTTCATTTTGTAGCATATACAACAAGAGATGTATGACTCTTGGTGTGTATGCATTACACTAAAAGATTACTTTAACCCTTTCAGGGTCCAAGGCCCAAATCTGGAGTCACGCACCAGTGTCCAAGAATTTTCAAAAAAAAAATTTGTTATTTTTTCTTATGAAATCGTAGAGAATATTTTTGTGAAGGTAATAAAACAAAAAGTACGAAATTTGGTGGAAAATTGACGAAATTATGCTCTCGCGAATTTTGACGTGTCAGCGATATTTACGAATCGGCGATTTTGCTGACTTTGACTCCCATTTTAGGCCAATTACATTATTCCAATCAACCAAATTATTAGCTATTTCACTAGTATTACTTCTATTCTATCGACTGAGCACAAGAAATCGCCAAGTCAACTGTTTCAACTACAAAATAAAGTGATCGGAAATTGTTAATTTGGCCAATTTAACACAAAGTTCAAAATATTCCAATTTCAAAATAGGGTCCAGAATAAACAATGTAGGCATTCCTGGCACTAAACTAACATTTCCTCTGTTCATTAGTTATGTTTTGAGGCTTTACAAATAAATTCCATTTGATTTTTTATTCACATAATGAATTTTTATTCACACCAAAAAATAGAAGATTTACTGTTATGCAATACTGTAATAATTGTATAAATATCATCACCATATTTGTGAATGTATATTAGACCCACCAGCTGACGTGTATTAGACGTGTGAGGTCGTTTGTTTACTCTTGAATATCGGCAAAAATTTAACATTTCCGCTAGTTTGAGCTCAGTTTCAAGCCATTTCCAGTGCTAAAACCAATCAAAATGATCTCTATTTCTGTAATATGTCTTCCATTCTATCAAATGAGACCAAGAAATCGCAAATACAACTATAAAAAACATACGAAAAAACACTGCAAAGTTGCTGTTTTAATCGAAAAATCATGATTTCAGTTTTTTTCTCTCATTATACACAGCGTGCTGCAGGATCTGTTTTATGTGGTGCACACATTCCATATAGATGTATTCTCTCATATCTAGGCCCAAATGTACCACTCACAGTTTAATCAGAGTGAGCTGAGCTCATGGCGTAGATCTACGGTTTGGACACTCACCGTAAAGCTGTAGATCTATGGGACGGACCCTGAAAGGGTTAATATTAACCCTTTTTTAAGGAATTGAAGTATTCTTAACTGGTGGTGAACATGTTACCCACAGCCTTAATGATACTCGTGTAGTTAATAGGCTTCTAACCCCATTTCTTAACTTTAACCTTTCCAATTTATTGTTTTGGCTATCTTTTTATTATTACTTCATTTATTTTAGTTGGATTTACAGAAATAATATTGAGTTATTGTAATTTATACTGATTTGATATTTTTTCCTGATCTTCCAGCTTCTCAAAACCCGAGGAACACATGGTGTATCACTAGATGATATACTTACACTGATGGTGTATGTGGCCTCACTGGGTGGTCCTGATGTGTTCACACACAAGGATGAATATGCTCTTACCAATCGTCTTTCTCATGCCATTGTTGAAGATAAGAAGTTGCTCTCTGATGTCCTTCTCCAGCTTGGTCAGCATTTACTGTCACTTGTATTTGTTATTGCATGGTGTACACATTATAATTTTTTTTTTTCAACGCATTGGCTGTCTCCCACCGAGGCAGGGTGACCCAAAAAAAAAAGGAACACTTTCACCATCATTAACACATAAACAATGTCTTCGCAGAGGTGCCCAGATATGACAGTTTAGATGTCACTCCAAACATCCAGTATCCCATACCCCTTCTTTAACCCTTTCACTGTCAGTCCCGTAATATTACGGCTTGTAAACCAGTGGCAGTCCCATAATATTACGGCTTGCCAGCCAGTGTCAGTCCCATAATATTACGCCAAAATTATAGTGGCTTCATATCTTGCGGGATAAAGCTGGTAGGCCTACATACAAGAGAATGGGTCTGAGTGGTCAGTGTGAGAACAAAAACATTGAATTTGCAGTGTATTTTCATATGGTATACTCGTTTTCTTGGTCTCATTTGATAGAATGGAAGATATATTACAGAAACAGAGATGATTTCGAATGGCTTGCAGACTAAAAGTACCTTGAAATTGAGCTCTAAGTAGCAGAAATGTTCATTTTTTACCAATGTTCAAGAGCAAACAAATCATGTCACACATCAACTGGTGAGTCTAATTTGCTTTCACAAATGGGCTGATATTATTTATGCCATTTTTACATAATACAGTAGTCTGCATAACAGTAAATCTTCTATTTTTGTGTGAATAAAAATTCAAAATGGAAAGCAAGCGTAATATAATTGGGGCCTGGAGACGTGACTGATGAACAAAGAAAACATTTTAGTGCTAGGAATGTTTGTATTGTTCATTCTGGAGCCTATTTTGAAATTGGCCTTTTCTCAAATTGTGTATGAAATTGGCCAAATTACCAATATCTGATCACTTTATTGGGTAGTTGAAATTGGTAAATGGACAGTTTCTTGTACTTAATCAATAGAACAAATGGAGTTCTAGTGAAATAGCTATGAGTTTGGTCAACTGGAAGAGTGGAATTGGCCGAAAATAGGGCTCAAAGTGGGTGAAATTGCTGATGTGTAAACATTACCGAGATCACTAACTTTGCGAGAGCAGAATTCCGTAGGTTTTCCATCAAATTTCGTACTTTTGGTGTCATTGCCATCGGGAATATCATTTCATGAAGTTAGTTTAATATGTTTATTATGCACCCCATACCCATCCTGTGGGCGGTAGTCAAAAGATTACAGAGGTACATAATGGGTCCAGGGACTGGGCCTCAAAGTTTTGATAGCTGAGCAAGTTACAGAGGTAATGAATTCACAATTTACAAAGGTAATGAATTCACAATTTACAAAGGTAATGAACTCACAATTTACAAAGGTAATGAACTCCAGGTAGGTCTAGTCACAATCATGACAAGTTACAAAGGTATTTACAGATTACAGAGGTACACAATGGGTCCAGGGACCGGGCTCCAAAGTTTTGATGGCTGAACTAGGTACAAGGTAATGAACTCACAAGTTACAAAGGTAATGAACTCACAAGTTACAAAGGTAATGAACTCACAAGTTACAAAGGTAATGAACTCACAAGTTACAGAATTCATTTCATGAAAAAAAGCCTTTTTTTTTTTTTTTTTTTTTTTTTAAGTTCTTTGACACTAAGATCAAGTTTGTAAGCGGGGTCTCGACAGCGAAACGGTCAAAGTGCATGCATTGTACTTCCCACCTCCAGAATACAAGTCCGGCTAACCGGTTTCCCTAAATCCCTTCACAAAATATTACCCTATTCATGCTCCAACAGCTTGTCAGGTCCCAAAAACCATTCTTCTCCATTCACGCCTATCTGAACACATTTATGCATGCGTGCTGCATCTCCAGGCCCCTTGCACACAAAACATCTTTTACCCCTTCCCTTCATCATATCCTAGGATGACCCATAGCCCCTCCTCCCCTCCACTACAGATTTATACATCCTTCAAGTCATTCTATTTTGCTCCATCCTCTCTAAATGACCAAACCACCTCAATAACCCCTCTTCAGCCCTCTGAATAATACTTTTGTAACTCCACATCTCCTAATTTCCACACTATGAATTCTCTACATAATATTTATGCCACACATTTCCCTTAAACACGATATCTCCACCGCCTCCAGCCTCCTCTTCGCTGCAGCATTCACAACTCATGTTTCACACCCATACAAGAGTGATACCTGTGATACTCCAATACCGAAACTATGTATTGTGCCAAAACAAAATCATTCACATTGCTAAACTCACAAACTAGTATTTAGTCACTTAGCCATAATACCAACTTACCTCATAATTTGTAATATTTTAAAGTTAAGAATTAATCTAAGTCTGCCCGAAATGCCTAGCCATGCTAGGTGTTCTAGTGGCCCCCTCTGTAATTAGTATTTTACTACATGTAAACCACACAATAACCAAATTCTGTAAACTCAGCATTGTAATCCTTATAGGGAATAAACTTGAATTGAATTGAATTGTTAGTACAATCCTCCCTTACAAATCCGGCAATCAGTTATTCGGTTCCTTCAGTTATTCGGCACTAATTTTGGCTAGCATAATTTCAAATTTCCAGGGTCGCCACACCAACCTGCTGGTACTGTTTGGTGGTGCTACTTGCTGCATAAGTCATTCCCATTTCTTTTTCTCCATTTATTGTTTTAACCTGCTTACTTTTAGCCCTAGGCATGGTTCCAATGAATAAAAGATTTTTTTTTTTTTTTTTCAACAAGTCGGCCGTCTCCCACCGAGGCAGGGTGACCCAAAAAAGAAAGAAAATCCCCAAAAAGAAAATACTTTCATCATCATTCAACACTTTCACCACACTCACACATTATTACTGCTTTTGCAGAGGTGCTCAGAATACAACAGCTTAGAAGCATATACGTATAAAGATACACAACATAACCCTCCAAACTGCCAATATCCCAAACCCCTCCTTTAAAGTGCAGGCATTGTACTTCCCATTTCCAGGACTCAAGTCCGACTATATGAACATAACCGGTTTCCCTGAATCCCTTCATTAAATATTACCCTGCTCACACTCCAACAGATCGTCAAGTCCCAAGTATCATTCGCCTCCATTCACTCCTATCTAACACGCTCATGCACGCTTGCTGGAAGTCCAAGCCCTTAGCCCACAAAACCTCCTTTACCCCCTCTTTCCAACCCTTTCGAGGACGACCCCTACCCCTCCTTCCTTCCCCTATAGATTTATATGCTTTCCATGTCATTCTACTTTGATCCATTCTCTCTAAATGACCAAACCACCTCAACAACCCCTCTTCTGCCCTCTGACTAATGCTTTTATTAACTCCACACCTCCTAATTTCCACACTCCGAATTTTCTGCTTCTTACTATGTAAAGTACCTACACAGTACATTATCCATTAATGATAAGGTGGCTTTGAAGCCACTGTCGGTTGTCATGAACTCAGTCTCATGAAGCAGGAGAATATGCTTTATTATTATGCTAATATCAACACTATAGCTTATTTGCCTATCACAATTGATCTAATATGACGTAAGAAACAATACAAATAACATAAAACATGTTAAATACTCCAGAATGAATAATATTTGGCATAACACCGAGCAGTTCGACTGAGGTATGAAGAGGATATGGTATACAAATACCATTCTCCTATCCCTGTCTTAGGGCTTATATTAGAGACAACAGTATAGCACAGGGCTAACTGTGATATACACTCGTGCTGCACCACAAACCTTAAACAAAAAAGTTATTTTCTCTTTATAGATTATCACACATAGCAGCATATGTGTAGAGAACCTAGGATAACCCAAAAAAGTCAGCGTGGCTTATTTCTAGTACCTGGCTTGGGTTAGCCATATATGATTTTTGGTAAATACGTATTCGATTCCCAGCCAGGGTAGAAACACTGGGCGTGTTTCTTTACACCTGTTGTCTATGTTCACCCATCAGTAAATGGGTACCTGGGTGTTAGTTGACTAGTGTGGGTGTTATCCTGGGACACTGACCTAATTTTCTTGAAATACTCAGCATAACAAGCGGCTTTCTATATAGTAGTATGTCACTGATGTCAGCTAGGCCTGTGTACCTTGTACATGTACGTGTAGTAAATAAAGAATTATTATTATTATTATTATATTTTCTCAGTTGTTTGTTGGGTTATCTTATTGAAACTTGAGCAATGTATGATGGAAAGATACTTCTTAACGTACACCAAATATTAAAGAAATCAGACCATAAATAGCGGAGTTCACTTCTTAGCCATTAGCGGCCGCTTAGCAGTATATTTTTGTATGTTTTTTATGGTGATATTCTCATTTTTTCGGTCTCATTTGATAGAATGAAAGATATATTACAGAAATAGATATGACTTTGATTGCTTTCATGACAAAAAGTACCTTGAAATTGCGCTCACAGTAGCGAAAATGTTCTATTCTTTAGCGAAGCTCAAGAGTAAACAAATGACATCACTAATACGTGTCCGCCTTCCAGTCCAAATTCCAATATGCAGTCAAGAATGGGTTGACATTATTTATACAATTATTACAATAATGCAGTAGTCTGCATAACAATAAATCTTCCATTTATTTGTAAATAAAAATTCCAAATGGTAAGCAAGAGTAATATAAGAGGAGCCTGTAGCCGTGAGTAATGAACAGAGAAAATGTTATTTTAATGCCAGGAATGTCTGCATTGTTTATTCTGGACCCTATTTTGAAATTGGCATCTGTTGAAATTTATATGAAATTGGCCAAATTGTCAATTTCTGACCATTTTATTCGGTAGTTGGAATAAGTGAATGGGCGGTTTCTTGTACTCGTTTGACAGACTAAAGTAAATAAGTTTATTCAGGTATACACAAATACAGTTACATAGATTATCATACATATTTCCAGTACCTGGCTTGGGCTTACCATATATGATTTTTAGTAAATACTTTTTTTTCTCGGTTGTTTGTTGGGCTATCTCATTGAAACTTGGGCAGTGTATGATGGAAAGATGCTTCTTAACATACAACAA